GTACATGAAAAATGGACATGTTGCACACTGGGTTTCAAGTTTCACGCTTTGGCACTCGAAACTCGGTGATTTGTGCAGTGAGTGAAAAATGGACATGTTGTGTACATATTTTCAGGTCTCAGGCTTTGGGTCTCAGCCCTCGGCACTCGGAACTCGATGATTTGTGTGATATAAATGAAAAATCAACATGTTGCACACTGGGTTTCAAGTTTCACGCTTTGGCAGAACTCGAAGTTGTTGATTTAGATATCACCCAAAACCTGAACACCCGAATGTCAAATTTTCAGTGCTGAACCCCCAACCCTGACTGCCGGGTGCTGAGTCCCGAAGTCCGGAACTCAGGATTTGACATTTGAGATGAACGAAATTTTTCAGACATGTTTGAATTAATCTACGTATATCTATAAACATTTCACTAACCCCTGAACCCTGAAAGATATTTTTGTTGTCTTACATACCAAATTCTGAGTTCCGAGTTCCGGGACCCCGGACCCCCGAAACACGGCAGTCCACAATTTCGGAGTTCGGGGGTTGGTAAAATGTGTATGGACATATGAAGGGTTGGTTTAAACATTTTAAAAGATGTCTCATATCAAATGTCAAGTCCCAAGTTTCGATTTCCGGGTTTCAAGAGTGCTGAGTCCCGAAGCCCGGAGTCCTGAAACCCGGAGTCCTGAAACCCGGAAATCAAAACTCGGGACTTGACATTTGATATGAGACATCTTTCAGAAATGTTTCAATCAACCTTTCATATATCCATGCACATTTTACCAACCCCTGAACCCTGAAATTGTGGACTGCCAGGTCTCGGGGTTCGGGGGTCCCGGAACTCGGAACTCGGGAAATTTGGGGAGATCAATAAAATTTGATTTACCCATGTTTAAAATATATTTTTGTTCTACATACCGAGTTCCGAGTTCCGGACCCCCGAACCCCGAGACCCGGCAGTCTCGGGGTTCGGGGTTCGGGGGTCCCGGCACTCGGAACTTGGGGAGATTTGGGGAGATCAATAAAATTTGATTTACAATTGAGTTGATTGGCAAACACATTGACTTACCCATGTTTGAAATATATTTTTGTTTACACATACTGAGTTCCGAGTTCCGGGTTCCGGACCTCCGAACCATGAAACCCGAGACCCGGCAGTCCACAATTCTGGGGTTCGGGGGTTGGTAAAATGTGTATGAATATATGAAAGGTTGAATGAAACATTTTTGAAAGATGTCTCATATCAAATGTCAAATCCCGAGTTTCAACTTCTGGATTTCGGGAGTGCCGAGTCCCGAAACCTGGAGTCTTGAAACCCAAAATTCGAAACTCGGGACTTAACATTTGATATGAGACATCTTTCAAAAATGTTTCATTCAACCTTTCATATATTCATACACATTTTGCCAACCCCTGAACCCCAGAATTGTGGACTGCTGGATCTCGGGTTTTGGGGTTGGGGGGTCCAGAACTCAGAACTCAGTATGTGTAAACAAAAATATATTTCAAACATGGGTAAGTCAATGTGTTTGTCAATCAACTCAATTGTGAATCAAATTGTATTGATCTCCCCAAATTTCCCCCGAGTTCCGAGTTCCGGACACCCGATACCCGAGACTCAAATTGTATTGATCTCCCCAAATTTTCCCAAGTTCCAAGTTCCGGACACCCGACGCCTGACACCCAGCAGTCTCGGGTATCGGGTGTCCGGAACTCGGAACTCGGGGGAAATTTGGGGAGATCAATACAATTTAATTTACAATCGAGTTAATTGACAACACATTGACTTAATCATGTTTGCAATATATTTTTGTTTAGACATACCGAGTTCCGAGTTCCAGACACCCGATACCCGAGACCCGAGACTGCCGGGTTTCGGGTGTCGGGTGTCCGGAACTCGGAACTTGGGAAAGTTTGGGGAGATCAATACAATTTGATTCACAATCAAGTTGATTGACAAACACATTGACTTAACTATGTTTGCAATATATTTTTGTTTAGACATACCGAGTTCCGGACACCCGATACCCGAGACCCGGCAGTCTCAGGTTTCGGGGTCCGGGGGTCCGGAACTCGGAACTCGGTATGTCTAAACAAAAATATATTGCAAACATAGTTAAGTCAATGTGTTTGTCAATCAACTTGATTGTGAATCAAATTGTATTGATCTCCCCAAACTTTCCCAAGTTCCGAGTTCCGGACACCCGACACCCGAAACCCGGCAGTCTCGGGTCTCGGGTATCGGGTGTCCGGAACTTGGAACTCGGTATGTCTAAACAAAAATATATTGCAAACATGGGTAAGTCAATGTGTTGTCAATCAACTCGATTGTAAATTAAATTGTATTGATCTCCCCAAATTCTCCCAAGTTCCGAGTTCCGGACACCCGATACCTGAGACCCGGCAGTCTCGGGTTTCGGGTTTCAGGGGTTGGTACATCTCGGTTTGGGGTTTGGCACTGAAAATTTGACATATATATTTTTGTGAGTGTTGTGCTTCTGGTGTCCATGCTTAGAAATAGGATTTGTTGCACACCAGGGTTCAGGTATGGGGTTTTTCCACTTCAGTCCTGGATTATTGGTCAATGCCACACATGATCGATTCATGTTTTTGTGCTTAGGGGTTTAGATTTGGTGGTTGATGGTAGGTATATGCACTCATAGTGTACATGTATCCTATGTGTTTGATTTGCTGGTGGCTACATCAGCTGTATGTCTTGATGGAACATATCTAGGCTCACCCATATATGTAATACACCCCCGTCAGCCCGCCCATCTATGTATTATCCCCCACGTCAGCCAACCCATCTATGTAATACATCCTATGTTGGCCCACCCGTCTATATAATTATACCCCACCTCGGCCCACCTGTCTATGTAATAAATATTTTATAGCACCCTCAGCCCACCGGTCTATTTGATATCCCTTTCGTCGGCCCACCCGTATATGTAATACATTCCACGTCGGCCCACCTGTATATGTAATACACCCTACGTCAGCCCACCCGTCTATGTAATATTTCCCTACCTCGGCCCACCCATATATGTAATACACCCACGTCGGCCCGCCCATCTATATAACAATATTTGCCTTACATCTCTCTTCAGCCCAGCTGTCTATAATATCCTACTCTACATATTACCCAGATGGGCCCACCCATCTCCATGAATGATCATATTCCCCCGGCCCATCCGTCAACATTAAGGATATATATATCATTGGCATACATGGGCCCACCCGTCTCCATCAGAAATAATATGTGTCCCGGCCCATCCATCATCATCGAGAATATACATAACATGGGCCCATGATCAGCTGGCCCGTCTCATACGGGATATTATGGAGGTCGGGTGGCCCGTATAATACGGAATTTGTCACTGAAGGGGCTCGCGTCAGGGTGCGTCTCAGTTGCCTGTGCAATTTGCATCACTTATGGGTGGTGTTACTGAGGCTCTGTCACCCTTGTCAAAGCGTGCTGAAGATCCGATTCCATCAATTCTACATGCCATACATGCAATTTAAATGTGAAACGCTCGATAAAAGTAAAAGGTATCTATCCTTGTGAGAGGGCGTCATATATCTGCTTGTCAAAGTACTTATTCAAGAAAAAGGATGAATGATAATGAGTAGAATTTGCCTTTGTCAACCACGCATCTGCCACAGGACCAAGTTGAGGAATGATGTGGATAAATGCACGAAGTTGGCCAAGGGGTACTATATCACCTACTGGGGCACCATTGGCATGTTTAGCGTGTTTCAATACATGCATCTCAGTGACCGGGTCAATCACACCCATTTTGAAACTATGTACATAACACAAATATTGATCATGCCATGTAATGCGTTGTAGAAACAACAATACAGAGAGGAACAAATGAAGCTCCTGACTGTATCTAAAAAATGTTATAGGTCGTGCGTTGCCTAGTCTGCGTTACTTGAGGAGACAAGCGCGTTTGACCCTAAAGGGAAGCGAGTGCAGCGAAGATCTAGAGGTACACGCTGAAGCGAGGCGCAAGAAAGCGCAGGTGCGTGCAAGGTACGAAGGCGCGGGAATGCGCGCGCATATTAGCGTGAAGTGTGGGAAAGCGCGCGCGCGCGTGCGGAAATGAGAAAGAGTAAGCTTAAGTGAGGATATGATGTAAGACAAGTGAAGAGAGGTGCAAAGTGCAGACAAATAGATTTCAACTATGCTCTTCTAGGTAGATAGTGGGTGGAAAGTATAGTAAGGTGGAAAGTTCAGTAAGGTAAGGTAAGTTTGAAAGTAAAGTTTCACTATGTACTGCTGGCGCTTATATAGCGCGCCTAAGCGCTGTAATGCAGAGCCGAAGCGCTACCGAGTAGGTATGTAAAGATATATATGAGTGAGAATTCATGATAAAAATAAAGGTGGAACAATATGCAATGAGAGAAATAGAAATATACACACTAGAGGGCTTGGTGGACAGTGGATGGATGCTTCTGGATGGCTGGCGCTATAAGGCGCTCAAGCGCAGGAACACGCGTGCGTGTGTATACATCGTGAAGCGCGGGAATGGTGCGCGCATGGCGCGCATTGCGCGGGAAAGCTGTGTCTTGTATAGGGATAGCTGTGGGTAGCGCACAGAGTGATGCTACAAGTTCGTGCTATGCACTCCTTGGTGGAAACTGCCATGTCATGCCATGAGAGGCATGAGTCTCTACAGCATGAACATTGCCAGGGAACTGGGCGCATTATGAGCTGCAATTCGCAAACTTGGTGCCCTTCAAAAATGGGGGGTCACGATAAGCAAGATTAATATCGACACAAGCAAACTCACCCATCAACCCTGATTTGGGCCAATCATAGGCTTGATCAACATTGACGAGGACAGCGTCCTGTCGGCCTTTTGGCCACCCACTGACAGGAGATGAGGGGGAGGCATGCACAGTCTGTGCGGGCAGAACAACACTGGCATCGTGGAAAGAAACTTGTTGCAAACGAACGACATGCCATACTTGAATACACTCAAAAGGAAGAGTCGAGGGACGGTCGATTAGTGATCTTCTTGGAACTCCCAATCCATGACCTGCTTCTCCATTCCTTGTGTCACGTTGCAAGAAGTCGGAAAGAACCTGGCATAAATCTGGTATGTTAAAATCATCAGCGACCTCGTCAATTTTCAGCCCAGTACAAGTAGGGGAAAAATTGAGATGGATAGCGGTGGAGGCAGCAATGAATGTCCGGGGAGGGTGAGGAATATTATCGCGCCTTGTGGCAACCAATTGCCTTGCTTTGCTAAAGTAGTTGGTAGTGATGCACATGTGGTTCAGCTCTTCCAAGAGCGCAGTTCGCGGGTCCATCACTTCATCACAATCTTCATCATCTTCTGAGTTGGAATGAGCGCAAGAACTCTTCAGTGCTGTAGCAATCACGAAACATCGCAGCTTCTCCTGGCGATCTAAATGATGACAGATTTGAGGATCATAGTCGTTGTTATTGATGTGCCATGCAGGGTCCTTGATTTCGGATATGTGGGCATGCTCGGTGGTGTCTGCGGACCATTGGATGAGGGCACCAACTTTGCGTGAGCTGGCAGTAATGCTCTGCATAAGTTCGAGCTTGGGTATGAACCAATTGTCGATAGGCTTCTTCGTGCCCATCCGAGCGCCTAGGGAGAGGATAATGTCTTTATTTTCATGAAAGATCAAGAGTGATCTGTCAATACGCGCTAGCAAGTTCTCATCAGGCAAAGGAGACTGTGCCATGTACCGGACGTCCATCAGAGCACAGATTGCGACCACAAATCGATGAGGGGCTGCACCAGCGATCAGGCCGATAATGTAACACTGAATATCTCGGTGCACCCTGCCTGTGACTTGCTTTAATTTCGAAATTCCACCATGAAAGTGGCGATAGCCTACAGTAGGCTGTAATATTGATATGCAAAAGTCCAATTCCTGCGCTCCAACAACTATAAGGCACCACTGGAGGTTGTGATCGTAAAACTCCTTGTGCCAGTGATGCAAAGGTTCAGGAGTTAAAAAGACTGATGGATCAGCGAGCGGCCAGTCCTTCCAGAAAGGAGAGTGGACACTGTTTAGTCGGTATTCCTTGCATGCTTGGAAGTAAGCTTCAAGGTCATCAGGATCGACCGTTATGCTATCGAGCTGTTCCAGGGTGATAGAGCGTGTGTGCTTGGGGTGGCGAAAGTCGTCCCCAAACTCCAGATACGATGCTAAGGTAAACGGCGAAGTTTTCCCGCGCACGCATGCAAGCATACATGCCTCCGTGGTATCAACAATATACGCTGCAAGAGGCGTAAAACAGTGGCGCACATTTCCCACTGGGTCGGACATCATGATTCCAATTTCAGCAGCTATCATAAGGGGCTTCAGAACTATGGAAAGACACTCATGCATAAGGCGATCTTCTAGCATGCCCCGCATCCGTTGTTTGGGATACAAGTACTCCGGGATAGGGAGGAGAGCTGTGAGCAGAAAAGCCCTGGATGAGAGCTTGATGTGAGTGCTCATGCGAATGTTAGCGAGGCCCAAAAGGAGCGAATGAGCGAGTCTGGCACCAGTCATATTGGTAATATTTGTTTTGTCCGAAGAAAGCACAGTGCCCAGGACTGTTGCACCTCTGGGGAGCTGGTCCTGTAGTTCTTATGATGAGACAACATGAATATTGACACACAAACCGTACATACCTAGATCTCCCAAGCAGAGTCACTTGTCAACCACTCTGAGTATACACGAAGAAGCTGCGCCGATGTCGTGTAAACGCGGCGAGGGACAAAATCCAGCTGGTCATGAAAAAGGGGGTTACTGAAGAGACTTTCCAAACATTCCATGGGATCCCTTCAAAACAATCGGATAGGACTTTTTGTGGGATTGAGCGAAGGAATGGTTTGACACTTCCAGCTTGGTCCCTTCAGCAGCATCTCAGCACGGCTTTGCAATTCTTTAGTGTTGCGGAATGACAATTTCAACCGAAGGATCTGCAAATAATGTCAGAAAATGTCAGTGCTTGTGAAAAGGACACGCACCATAGGGAGTCCCAGAAACTGGTTAATTGCTGCCATACTGAGGGGAGAACACAGGAGAAAATCGGCGACTTCCCACTCTTCCCTTGATGCAAAAGGGTAGAAGAGGTTTTCTTTCCTGCGTTCTGCATACTCATCAGCATCAAAAAGATCCAGAAAGGTCACATCATCCCAAGCATAACAAGTTCCTGCGCCCTCATACATCTCCACCTCTGATAACTCTCCCTCATCCTGGAAATGGGCTCCGCCAAAGTCAACATTCATCATCTCATCCTCAGTATTAAATTGCGGGATGTCCAAGCCCAACATTGGTTGAGGTTGACCTTGAGATTGCTGTGAAGGATCCAACTCAGCAAACTGTAAGATATCGACCATATCGTGAGTAGAACTGTGACACAATGTCCGAGGCTGGCTGAGGTGTCGAGTGACACTAGATTCCTTGGTGAATACTTTGCCACACTTTGGACATATTGGCACTGACATAAGTGAAACTAATATCGACCGATGCACAGACTAATAAGTCTCACGCATCACTCCGACATATCACATTGGTGTCACATCATCGTACTTACTAGATATTGTCCATATTGCCACCAGTGCTCACAATGCAAACCTCCAATGTTAACTCTATGGCCTTTTCGCACCGTTCCCGGGCCTCCCACAGTTCATCAGTTTCTTCTCAAAGTTCCTCTTTCAATTCTGAACTTTCTCCTTGTTTTCCATCCTCCCGTCGTTGTGAGGAAGTCTCTCCATATTCTCGGTCCAAACAAAGTTCACAATGTTCATCTTTTCTGCGACAATCGCAGCTCGTCAAAGAGGAAGATAACTTCCCCATATTGATGCACTTTGTGAGTTGTTATCCACTGATCACTTCAATGCTTCGTCATTCTTATATGCCTTTGGTACTGGCAGGAATGAGACTCCACATCACTCGACCAAGCAGAGGAAGACGATCATTCTGACCTCGCACTCAAAGTAGCTCAAGCTGAATGTAAAAGTTTGCCAGGCTCAAAAGCACCTGGTGGATTGTATTTTGGAACACCATCAGATACTTACACGTCTCTGCTGTCGTCGTGCAGAGGCCGCGAATACATGCTTATTATTAGCTGATCTCAATGTTGGGCGCTTGCATCTAGAGCGAAGAAAAGACGGTGTCGCAACATTCATTCGAACATAATCGGTAGTAAGCTTCCAGTTTGCAGTGTTCTTGTGCATGCACACTGACAAGTTCTCCTAATCACAGCTTAATAGTGTTGTAAATATTTTCGTCTTTGCATGTCAATACTTCATAAACGTTAATAGACCATGTTTGTATTTTCGTACACAAGTCTTACCATTTGTACAGTTTGTATGTCTGTGCGTCTGTGCGTCTGTGCTACTTGTGCGCTTGTCAAGTTTGTTCCCAATTTTTGATTATTTGCTTGTGTCATCTGCAATGTGTGTATGGCCTTGTGTGGGTTTGTGTGGATTTGTCAATCATGTGGGAATTGTCACTAAATTAATAGTTTGCTGATGCACTGTAACCTCCGGACGACTGCCAGCAGTCAGCTGTGGACACATGAGCATATATTCAAGGTCCAAACGAAAAATGCAAACTTACCGAAGCAGGCCCAAATGATTGCTTCTTGGGGGAACTGGGTGACCGAGGCGACTGGGGCTTCCTTACCACAATGGTGCGCTAGGGAAGGACGACCTCTGGCACTCCACGCGAAATCGGCTGCAACAAATTGAGAGCATGTCACAAATCAGCCAGAACACATACCTGAACAATTGGGTCTTCATCATCTTCCAACTCCACAAACAGCTTCGACTTGGGGAGTTGAGTTGACTTGACACGCTTGCGAGCCTTCAGTGCCGACTTTGGAGGTTGAGAGGAGTGTCCAGAAATCATTGGAGACTTCCTCTTGTTGCTCCCCCCAACTTCCGGTGACAGGTCGACGGAGGTGGCCTTACCTTTTCCTTTGTCCTGGACCTCAGGGGTCGTCTTGCCAGAAGGTCCGGCGATGACCGGAGGTGAGGGAATGACGGGGGTGGGGGAAGGGACAGGTGCAGGTGAAGGGACAGGTGGAGACGGAAGGTTGACAGTGAGTGGGCCAGTGGAAACATTAGGGACAACAGGGAGATCACAGGAATTGTCACCCAATGCCTCCCAGGCACGGATTTGCTTGCGCCAGGTGTGTCTAGCCACCCGGGGGTCATCATGGCCAATGCTGTGCCAGTTTGGCAATGCCCGGGGAGTCATGAAATGCACCCTCATCAGCTCCTTAGAGCAGGACACCACAATTCCAGGGATGTATTCCCCTTTCTCATGGGCCCGGATGATGTCAGCCTACCCAGACATTACAAACATTAATGTTACACTAATTTAATAAGTTCAACATACCAAAAGAGTGGTGACCTGCTTTGTTAGAACAAGGTGGACATCCACTGAGCCAGCCGGGATGTGCTGGGCGCCGGCAATGATGCCCACAAGTTGAGCAGTGGATGCCTTGAGGTTGGCCAATGAAGATTGAACTTGAGTAGACATTTGGATGGAGTTGACAGATGTGAGAATGTTGAAAGCAGGGTGAAATCTGTTATCAATAGAATGAAGTTTCAAAGAAACAATACAATTGAAGGACAATGTTGAAAATTCGTTGATTGTTTGTGTTTGTTTGGTCATGGTTCAACTTTTGGCAATCGCTGGCCATGTGTTGAACTTCAATGTTATCAGCTATCAATCAGTTCATCAGTGCATCAGCTCATCAGATATCATGAGCTCTCAACCTGGGGTCAGATTTCATGACTCTCTGGTCACTGAATTTACTTCAATGGATGTGGATGAGTCCTCCCAATCCTGGATGTCCCTTGGTATGTTTTGTTTTTTCTGATTTCAGTCAATTGATCTGACATGGTTCAGATCCATTAGATGATATATACCTTGGGCTGGATGATGAGTTAGACTCTGATTCTGGGTTGTCCGGTGGTTTGGATGTGTTGAATGTGATTCCCGGTATGTTTTCCAATTCAAATGTACATATTTTACATGTGCAAATTCATCACATACTTCCAGATCCATCATCTCCGGCTCTGGCAGATGGACTGGCCCTGTACGATGACCCAGACTTGTATCTTGGTCTGGAGGATACCTTGATTTCGTCTGATGATGCTCCGGTTGTACCCGATTTTCCTATGGCTGGTGAGATTACTCTGTCCATCCCATGGTCACCTTTCATGGCATTTCCCCAGTGAATGAATCAACTCCGGAGCCTCATCCGGCCACTCCGGTTGTACCAGGGGCACCCATACCTTGTAGGTATCTTCATATCATTTCATGTGTTTTACTGATGCTATCTCCTAAGCTATGTCAGAAACTCCTGAACGTCAATCGCCCGAGCCGGAACTCAACAATGAAGCACTGCATGCCATGGTTCAGGAGTTCATGCCAATCGGATCTTATGATCAAGCTGAAAGTAAGTATACAACAGTTGATTATTTATCTCTGCTAATATCCTGCAAGTTCAATCAATTGTAGATCGCCTAGGAGATTACGAACAGCGTCATGGAAATCTTCCTGCCCCTACAGTAGCCCAAATTCTTGAGGCTGACAGACCATTCAGGGTGGCATGGGCTGAAACATGCGACAAGCTGCGAAAAGCAGATGCTGACCTCCGGAGGATGCAAAGGGTAAGGGAGTCAACCTCCGAAATGCTTAAGGTATTAGATACCCTCATTGAGGTCTTTGAGGACTCAAGTAACATGTAAATATTGATCAATGTCTGATAGTAGACACATTGCAGTACTACTCAGTAGGTAGTCCTTGGTACTTGTATACTCTACCTACCCAGTACTCGCTACCAGTTTTCTGTGCTCGGTACTCGGGGCTCAGTACTCGGTGCTTGGTACTCGGTGCTTGGTACTCGGGGCTCGGTACTTGGGGCTCGGTACTCAGTTTTCGGTACTCGGTGTTCGGTACTCGGGCCTTGGTACTCGGTGCCCAGCGTTCGGGCTTCAGTACTCGGGGTTCAGTACTCAGGCCTTGGTACTCGAGATTTGGCATTTGGCATTTACAATTTGGTTGTTAGTACTTTGACATATACATAATAGCACATATGACATTACACATGAGGGCAGGAAGATATATGTACATTAAGTGCGCCCCGTGCTCTGGTTACTCTAGGTGTACTGTCTACTGGCATTTGCAACTTACTCCGGGTCGTCCTCATGGATGGTTCAACAGTGACTCAAGTGCCCCGCCTCCTTTTCTGTGCTGGCGGCATGATACTCTCTTCCATTTGAACATCATCTCTAACCTTGCCTGTCGCGTCATCAGTTAACCCAGCAAGGAGGTCTCCCATTCGTGATGTCAGTAATGCACCTTTTTTGGCTGGTGAGGCTGGGCGAGGCTTTGGAATTGGACGTGGGACTGCCGGCCCTCTGGGTGTAGGACCTCCCGTCCTGGGCTTCTTCAGCAGAGGTCTCCTGTCAGCCAGGTCATCATCCACATTATGCTCCGTATGATGAGTGGCACTCTCCTTATCACTCTCGGCTTCTGTCGATGACTCCCGAGGCCTTTGGATGGTAACCCTCTGTTGCCTTCTCACTATACGAGTCTGAGGAGAGGGTTGCCAGATATGACAGATGGTACCATGTCCCCATCTTTGTTCTTCCATGCTTTGAACAGAAATGTGGGCCCTTCGCCTGTTTCCTGCCGAGCAAGCCAGAACTGGAGCAAGGTAGTGGTGTCCCAAATTTGCAGCTTCGAAGGTTCCTTCAAGTCAACATCCGCTGGAAGATATGTCCAGGCCACGAAGTCATCCTGACTTTGTACAATGGCACTCCATGGCACAACTGCCTTGTCCTTCCCGGAGCATATCCCTTTGTCCATGCATTGAACAATTTGTCAGGTGATGCGACGACAAACTCACGATAGTGCGATGTAAGAAAGGCCCTCACTATGGCCTTCTTCTCCTCAAGTTTGGTGTCGGTGATGTCCGGAAGGAGTGGCATACCCTCCCCGTCCATTTCGAGTTCGAAGGCTGGTTTTCGAATTCATTTTCGACCTCCCTTGACCTGACATCCTCCATCCCGTGCCCCGGCACCTATCATTGTGATGCTCAATATGTTCAATCTGGTGTGGGACTCATTATATACCTTGACCATGATGGTAAACAATGTCCGGCGGTCACCGATCGGTGGAATTTGTTTGAAGAAGATGAACCCGAAGACCTGCTTGAGCCTGAAGATCTGCCATTTGTGTCCAGACCCGAGTTCCAGCCAAAGGAAAACACCATGGTCATCGTGGACAAGTCCGGAGTTCATCGCCTGGAGGTTCGATGCTGTGAATGTCCGAATGCCATGAGTCCGGACATTCAAATGTTTCGACACAGATTTTTCCCTGCATCTTTTAACAGGCCAAAGACTGTGTTCACCTTCAGAGTGCTCAATGATTTTCTACTGGACAGCCTTGAATGCGGCACCTCGGCAATGAACTATTACAGCAAGCTCCGGTGAATGACCTCCAGCATGTTTCCACACCTTGTTCCGGTAACCCTCATGATCTACTGGACATCATATTGACAAAGCACATTGCAAGGACCGATACAGAGAGCTCATGAGGGTCGCTCAACAGTGGAGGCAGTTGAAGACAATGAAATGGCATGGCTTCGGCCATCGTTCTGATAACCCGAGCACAGGAGAACTTGCATTATTTTGCCCGGCATGTCCTCAGCCTGGGATTAATGTGCTGTTGTCAGAGGATGAATCTCTTGATGAGTGAGTCCTATTCTCAACCTATGTGGCCTCCATAATAATACTAGGGATCCAAGCTGGAAATACACCCGGTCATTTGTGATGGATGGAAATTTCAAAGCCGAACATCTGCATCCCATTAAGCCATTCGATGAAGTTTGGCTGTCCGATGGACTTGGATTCATGGTAGGAAATGACAGGTATAAAATGCACCTGGCAGAGGCTGCTGACACAGTGGAAAAATCAAGCTGCAACAATCACCGGGCAGTAAATCAAGCTAATGCTGCTAGGCACAAGCTGGAGTCCACCGGTATCGGGGGAGTTGCCTGTGCCAGACACGGTTGCTTTGTCCCTCACTCCATGGTGGATTTTCAGAAAGGCGAAAGGCAAGCCACATCCACCATTCCCCATTCACGAGTTAACCATGGGGGGTCACTTGCAGACAAATGAACATGGACTACGCCCTTTGCGAGGCTTCCCAGCACAACATGGAAGGCATCACCAGGGCTGTCACCTTCTATGATATTAATTGTCAATACAACAAACACTTTCGGGTTCGGGTGGATCGAAGTCGATTTCTAGAAATGGAACCACAACTAACCATCATTCCCGGAATTGGGTTGTGGCACGTTCATGGCCATCAGGACAGCTGCTATGTCCGATATGCTTCTAACTTTATTGAAGGCATTGGTCGGATCGATGGAGAGATCATGGAGACGCTATGGGCACGGCTCAATCTGATCTCCCCTGCTGCTCGGGGAATGTCATCTCCCCACCGAAAGGAATGCCTTGATTATCAGATGAATGACTCCAATTTCTGCAAGATGATTCGCATGAAAAGGACTCTATGCCGGAAATACAAACTGGCTAGGAATGGTATCTTAGAAAGTGGAAAGGCATTCGACAGACTCGATGAAGCAGCACCCTCACATTTGAAGACAGAATGGTTAGCCAGGGAGAGGATAGCTCAGTCAAGCAGATTGAATGATCCTTCAGCCATGGATGAATATGAGATCAATATCAAAAAGGGTAAGTTGAGTTCCATTGTCTCCATCGAGGTCTGAATTAATATTGCACTCAGCACCTAGCAAAAAGGAGATCGAGCTTAGATTGTTAGAGGAGGGTAACGCCCGCAATGCAGCACCCTCTCGCAGATCTGTGGCAACATGGATATCGACAGGGTTAGCAATTGAAGAGGCTCAGATTGCATTGCTCATCGAGGTCCGAAGGATCGGAAGAAGATCCACCGAGACACAGAGATTAGACATCGCCCATCAACGAGATCGGCTCCAAGGCCAGATAGATGGATTTGCTCGGTCTGCTCTAACACATCTCGGGGAGGGATTTGATGTAGATGATGAACCTGAGGACTTGGATGTAGACATTCTAGATGATCTCGATGATGACCCGGCGGATTTCACAGAGACATCTCATACATGGACAAACTCGCCCAAGCTCACTGTAATCCCATTGCCATTGAACCTGGGAGTTGATAGATGCAGACGATGCATGGCAGAGGATCTGATTCCCCTGGAGATGTCGCTTCGTGAAGGGCAGGCCAATGATGCCCTTCACAATCTCCGCATTTACCTTTGCAACAAGGCCATCCTGTTCCGAACAACCGTTAGGCAGGCCAAATCCCAGGCCCTGAAAACTCGAGCTTGGTCCCAGGTGACGTCGGTGCAGCAGGCAGTCTCCCTCCATGCCAGCATATATACAAAGACAAGGAAGCAAATGATGAAACTTGAGCCGGGGCAAGACCAGCTTCAGAAATACAAACCCCTGCTTCGCGAGCAACTCAAAATCAGCACTGCAGTGGGAGACCCAAATGCCCAAGGTCAACGAAATGAATCTTTGGCTTGGTTTTGGTCTGTTGAAGTCGACCTCGGGGGTCCTGATCAATCGTGGAATGAGGAATGTGAGTTCCTGCTTGCATGTCATATCCCGCGGTTACCTGACTGGACCCATGCCAAGTTTACCGAGTCCATTGGCTGAGGGCAAAGGCACTACGGGATCGATGGAGGGAGGAAATGCTATTGGTCAAATTGGAGATGGATTGGACATGTAAGTTCTTTTTGTGGAAAACAACCCAATGGGGCGAGCACATGCAGGAATCATTGGAGAAACGACTTCCGAGTCACGGATGCTATGCCAGAAGGCAATCCCAAATGTATTCATTGCTCGCACAGGCAGCTTTTCGAGACCTACAAAACATGTTGATAGAGGCTGGAGATGAATGAACATTGTTTTCTCATGAAGTCCCTTTTTCCACATACATAATTGAGGCCCGGGAATTGTCCGGGTCAGCCCATGTCGGAGTTTGAATTTTGTATCCATCCATCAGTGATTCTTATCTTCACATCTTCACCATCTTTCACTTGTATTGCCAGCACCATAGTCCTGTATCAACCATGTCTGCATCTCATGCATCCACTTCTGGCACTCTGAATGCCGGAAGCCATTACCGACCCCTGAAGCTGAGTCTTGCAACTATTTCCTGCACATTGGCAATGGCTGGATCTCGCGTCCATGCATGCATCTCTCAATATCAGACGGAAGCTGCCAACAATGGTCTATCTTCTGACCGGATCCAGTATTTTAAAGCTGGGCTGCAATGGGAGATGAATGTATGTCACCACTGCCCTGATGACTTTGTTGGTCAATGCTAAGAATGTGAGCAGACTTTTGTCACACCACTCCTGCAGTACTCTGCTTCACAGAATATTGTGTCGGTGGTTCCGGTCCCTGTCGCTTATATCCTTAAGTTGTATCCCATGCTAACCTGGAACACGGTTCCGGACGACGTCTTTTCATTCCACCTCCTTTCATTTCATGATGAGCCAATTGCAGGACATCCGTCCCGGATTGTGTTCGCATATACATGTCCATGGTGGATGGGAAACACCACAATCCCTGATCAACCATGGCAGTGGGATGAAATAATGGCTTCCTGCGTCTCTCACTACCAGTATTGGGCGGTAAGATGTTAGCTGAATTACCTTGATTGATGACTTATCTGTTCCAGCTTAATGTTGAGGATGATGCTTTGGTTCTTCCAGAGAAGTTGAAAAACACTTCGACTCCACCACTCATGGGACTGAGGTTCATCAAAGAATGCATGGAAGCATTGATGGAGGAGCAAGATCAGGGCATCAAAGCAAAGATGGGAGAGGTGAAGATGTACACTGACATGTTAGAGAAATTGAGGAAAGGCAAAGGAGTGTAGTCCCATTCAGTCTTCATTGTATACAAGATGTAACATATTCTATGCATTCAAAAATCTCACATCCGAGTCCCGGACGCCCAGGTCCCGAGTCCCGAATTTTGGAGGTTTGGGTTCGGAGACCCGGAGCTCGGCAACTGTGTTGGGTGTCAGGGTATCCAGACCATTGGAGATAGCATGTGTCAGTATTTTGCATTTCATGGTTCATGTTGGGTGAATATGGAATTGGGGACCAGGGACTCGGTATTCAGAACAGTGTCAAGTCCCAGGTCACAAGCTCCGAGTCCCGAGTCCCGAAGTTCAGAGGTCGGGGTTCAGCGACCCAGAGCTCGGCAACCGTGTTGGGTGTCAGGGTACTCGGAGCATTGGAGATAGCATTTGTCAGTATTTTGAGTTTCATGGTTTATGTTCCGTGATTATGGAATCGGGTGTCAGGGACTTGGCATTGAGAACAGTGTTGAGTCCCATGTCATGAGCTCCGAGTCCCGAGTCCCGAAACCCACACCCAGCAGTTGCCGAGCTCTGGGTCGCCGAACCCCGACCTCCGAAATTCGGAACTCGGGACCTGGGCGTCCGGGACTCGGGACTCGGAGCTTGTGACATGGGACTCAACACTGTTCTCAATACTGAGTCCCTGACGCCCGATTCCTTAACCAAGAAACATGAACCATGAAACGCAAAATACTGACAGATGCTATCTCCAATGCCCTGGATGCCCTGACACCCAACACAGTTGCCGAGCTCCGGGTCGCCGAACCCTGACCTCTGAAATTCGGGACTCAGGACCTGGGCGTCCGGGACTCTGTATTCAGAACAGTGTCAAGTCCAGAGTCCACAATGTCGGGGTTCAGGGTTTTGTCAAATGTGTATGGCAATAACAAATGTTAATTCGAGCGTATTTATACATCTTCCCCCAGTCTCAAATATCACGTGCTGAGGTCCGGGTGTCGAGACTCAGTACCCCGGCACTCGGGACTCCCACATGTCAAGTCCCGAGTTCCAATTATTGAATACCGAGGCTTGCATCCAAATTATTCAGTCCCACATATCACTTTGGAAATGCTCAAAATTGAGTATTGAGGTCCGGATCACAATTGGTACATGGTATTCATTTGTTGGAATGTATATAGGTCACAATGCTTGCTCTTTGTTTGATCTTTCACACGCTGTATGCACCATCCACACTAGCCAATCCACATGATGGAACACCAGCGTAAATGTGAACAGCATCCCTCATATACCATGCCCAAGCAATCCGATCCCCTTCCACATCATAAACTCCATGTCTCACAATCCTTCCGGAAAACGCAATCATACAGCCGGAATTGTACTTGAACTCCAGCTGAAGGTTTGGCATTGTCATCCGAGCATTAGAATAGTTCCCCACGGTGGTGAGAATGTCGAAGCATTCAGCAATGGACATGTGGTCTCGATGATGGGGGGTTTCCCGATTGGAAATGATGGAGAGGGTGTTAAACATGGATGCCCAGTACTGCAGGGCCTCCGGCATCTGTGGCAGATCCTTGCTTACTGCTATATTTCCAAGGTTTGACAAGGTTCTCAACCCTGCCCAGTACTGCTCAGGATGCATGACTCTGAGTGCCGCGGACGCGATGGCTGCTGGCCTTGCAATGGCTTTGAGGATATTCTCGCAGGAAGGTCCCTTCAATGATGCAGATACCTCCGGATCTGACACATTCTTTGGGATTGGTGAGTATGACTGCCGGAATCACCATCCCATCAGATCCTACCTCGTGTCCCTGTTAAAACCATGCCGGAGATAGATTGATGCATCCGGGAGTTGGTCCAACATCTTCCGAGCCCCGGTTGAACAACTTTTGATTAGTTCGCCAATTGCCATCAGCCCTTACACTTTTTTCGAGGCTTGGAGCGAGCAAATCGGTGGCCTCCCTGATTTCCTTCTGTAGGTTCCATTAATATTCAATATCCATTGAGTAACAATGTATATTACACACCTGGGTGGTGTCGGTCAGGGCGTCTGGGAGGTACCATGCAATGATGGCACCGGATGCATCGACAATTGTGGCAGGTTCGTCGACCAACCTTTTGCCTTCATGGCCAGGAGGACACCTCTCAAGCAACCTCGCCTCTCTATGTTCATTATGCCTGGTGTCCTTCGGGGAGATCAATTTGCTATATCTTGCAATATCCATCTGCATCTGAACTGTCATGCAGGAATTTGAATGATAAAACGAATTTTCCGAAT